CGGCTTGCCTCCAAAGTAGTATGAAGGTCTTGCCAGCTACGCTCTTACCAAAGAAGAGAAGGAAATCTTCTTTGAATGCCTGCTCAGTATGAAGGTCGCGTCTGGCTTCTCGTCGAATATAAAGGGAATAATAAATATGGCAGAGAAAAAGTTTCAGAACCTAAAGTCTCATAACTGCCACGTGATTATGACGCAACTGCTTCCGGCTGCATTGAGGGGGCTGTTACCGGAAAACGTTCGATTAGCCATTGTGAAGCTATGTTCATTCCTCAATGCAATCTCTCAGAAGGTGATCGATCTAGAAATCCTACCAAGCTTAAGGAGTGATGTGGCGCAATGTCTTGTCAGTTTCGAGCTGATGTTCCCACCATCTTTCTTCAATATCATGACACACGTCCTATTCATCTAGTCAGCTGGGCACTCCGCCTCCTCCTCCTCCTCCGGCGAGTGATCCGCCTCTTCCTCCTCCTCCGGCGAGTGATCTGCCTCCTTCGCCTCCTGCTCCAGCACGTGAGGGCGGCAGTACTCCGCCTCCTTCTCCGCCTGCTCCGGCCCGTCCGAGCAGCCCGCCACTTCCTTCGCCGCCTCGTAAGCGACGACGGAACACAGACGCCACCGCTCCGGCTGCTCCGGTGCGTCGTAGTAGTATGCCTTCGGCTGCTTCGCCTCTTAACGAATGAAAGAAGACAGCCGCAGCCGCTCCGGCTGCTCCGACATCTAGCAGTACAGCCAGAGGCGGGAGGAAAAATAGATACAGTCCATCGTCTGTCAAGCCTCTAGAATGGGAGGCAGTACAGCCAGAAGCAGAATGAAGAAAAGGAAACAAATTCCCCAGCTCGGCGAACAAGCGAAGCAATCGTGCCCCCGCTCAATTTCTCTAGCAATATCATCGCTAATCTTCCGGGGGTCCTACCCGGTACCAACCCTGGAGATTACATGGCCGACGAGGATGCAATAATTTTTGGAACATTTGAGGATGTGGACATATTCAGATTCGAGCACGGGAAGCCTCTCGTCGGACCTGGTACTTCCCTAACAACGATGATGCAAAGATTCCATGATTGGTACATGGACATCTGCACGAAGTCTGGGAAAAATACTTTGTCACTATCGGTTAAAGAGGAGCACGACCTCGTTGGAATTGATGTGTTGTCAGTTCCAT